AAACATTTTTTTCAAAAAAAAAAATTAAAAAAAAAAAAAAAAAAAAAAAAAAAAAAAAAAATAAAAAAATAATAATAATAATAATAATAATAATAATAATAATATTAAATCAAACTTTTCACCGGATTTCAAGGTCCCATAGTCCACTCTTTCTGCAGACTTTGGGACCTTGAAATTCAAACTTGAAACACAAAATGTAATATTTGCAGCCCGTGTGTAAGATATGTTTTGCATAGTGGCTCTTGGTGCACTGGCGTCAGCTTCAGCCTTTTGAGCAATTTTACATCCCTAAAACAACTGTACACTGGTGAAAAACCACCGTCCAAAAAGTCATGGATGAATAAGTTTGAAGAAAGAGCTTGACTGGCCTGGACAGACTCCTAATCTGAACCAAGTAGAAAACCTTTGGGGTCAAATAGAGTAGAGATCGGCAGGTACACTCATCCAACATCAGTGTCTGACCTCACCAATGTGCTACTTAAGGGATGGTCAAAAATTCCCATAAATGCTTTCATAAACCGTGTAGAGAACTTTCTCAAAAATGCCTAAGTTACAACTCCATTTGTTTGACCAACATCATTGAAAAACCTTTGCTTTAAGGATGAGGTGTTACTCATGCTCACATTTGTGTGATGGCAGATGAAAGTATCTCAGTCTAGTTTCTAAATACTAAACTTTTTAAAATGAAGACTAGGATGAAATCTATAATATAAAAATGTGTTGATGTTTGGGAAAAGCATTGACCTAAGAGGGTTAAAATGTACACCTTCACACTTGTTGCTTTAAACTTAAACTTAACCTTTTAAACTTTACCCTGGTCTTTCAAGCATTTTGGGTGTCTGCAACTTAAATACTTCAAATTCTTCTTTGAAGGAGTTTCATTCCCATGGGAGAGAAGCTTTCTAAAATATGTCAGAAATGATGACCCAATGTCTGACCTTTAAAATGTCATTAATAACTGATACCCCAAACATTTGTGTCTAAAGTTTGGTAACAGTGGATCGAGGAAAAAGCCATTACCGACTACAATGTGTCTTGGAAAAGAAGATGAGGCATTCTGGTGATAAAAGAAAAAAAAAAACTAAGCAAGCCTGGACTAGGGCAGAGAGGATGTGAGCTGTTGAGATATTTTAGATGCTTTCAACAGTGAAGCTCGTATGGGAAAACACAGAGAAGGAACTGGTGGTATGCTATGCCATTAATCTTAGCGCGAACGTCTATCTGGCCAAGTGACTGACAACAATGTGAAGACTTGCCAACATTCCTTTGTGAATTCGAAAGGCAGCTGACATGTTTCGACTGTGCGTTTCGCTCTTTTTTCCCAGAATTGGTATGATGCAGGAAGACGGAGTGTAAATGTTAATCGGGAGGAGGTGGGAGATTCCTTTATAAAGCCAAGAAATTTATTTTTTCTTTTTTTTTTTCTGCGGTTTTTTATTTTTTTTACCGACCAATTTGCTCTTATTTCTTTGGCCTCAGTATCCTGGGAATGTCATATCGGGCTGAAATCAGTATGAACAATATGGGGTTGTTAATAAACCATACAAATTATGTTGGACTGCTTAGTTTAGTGTCCTTTGTTGGCATTTGCACTCCAACCACATGCCAACAATAACATTAAAACCTCAAAGAATTGTAATTTTTCACCCATCATTAAAAGCCCGAGTGTGAATGTAGAGGCTGAAAATATCCCTGTTGCTTTCAAACAGAAGGTTTTTCAGCATCTCTGTGAAAGGATGCCAAAGATGCGAATGTGTTTTGGTTTTGTTTGCTCAAGTGCCATGTGTCTGAGGCAATGAAAAGTGTTGTGAAAATCGATCTGTCCCTTTACGGATTTCATCTCTTCTGGGTTCGTTTTGTTACACTTAAAATATAAAAAAGTGTCAGGGTTATAGACTTTAAACGACATACTGTGCCAAACTCTTTTAGAGTTAAATAATTCCAAGGCTGGATTAACCCTTATTTGATTTTAGACCCAAATAATAGGTTACTTTACCCAACACCTTCTTATTGTCGGGCATGAGTGCAACCTTTCATCCTTTATACACAAATGCTTGTGAGTGCTTTTAAAGCATGAACATACATCTTCAGTCAAGAATCATTACATCATGTGCTGAACACTTTGTGCTATTTAAAAAAAAAAAATGCATTACAGCTTTATTATGTGCACTCGTCTCAGCCACTCCCATAGTCAAGTTGCTCTTTGAAGCCTTAGGGTCTCTGCTGCTGCAAACTGGTTCCACTCTAAATCTGTGGATCAGAGACATCTATTTGGAAATGGATACTGATAACCGAGCTCTCTATCCTCCCTTCATTACATCCTGCGGCATGTCCACTAATACTTCATAGACGCCTCCAGGCGGAGGGGGAGCTGAATTGGAGGCAATAAAAAGCGTTTAGGAATGCAACATGTTAGCAAAGGTACATGAGGAATTTCAAGCGGCATTAGAGGCTAATCTGGCAAACCTGTTTTTGTCTCGTGTAGGGTTACGCGTCCTCGTGAGAATGTGATCTATGTCAAGCCTGCTCTCCATGGCAAGAAGAGAACAAGAGAACAGGCCACCCGAGAAAGTTGAACCCGAAAGAATGCGGCTCTGGTATTCATTAATGAAGAGAGCTCTTTGCAGCGGTGGAACAAGAGGGCAGGAATGAGAGGATAGTTGACAATGACAGGAGTGGTAGAAAAGAAAACTTTTCAAGAGAAAATGATGATTTATTAACACCTCAGTAAAAATCGGTGCTTGCTGCGTGAAATAAAATGCAATAAGTCCGTTAATGTTTATGGGAACATTTATTGTTTTATGAAATGTTGCATGAATTCAACAGTTGATTTCACACACAAAAAAAAAAAAAGCCTGTTTTTTTAACTCAATCTACGATTGGTTGTTTACAGCTTGACAGGGCCGTGATTGTCGGCACATAACTTACAAAATAACTCTTTGGCATCATGCTCAGAGCACTACTGTATCTAAAATAACAATACAAACATCTGTTATAAAATATATAATAAAATTAATTAACCTGTTAGTTTGCAACTCACAGTAAACGAAACACTAACCTTTTTTTGGCCCCCTCAGTGGTGATCAAACCAGCAGAATCACCACATCAGGGCTCACACTCACTACCATCACACATGCAAACACACTTTTGAGAGGAAGGGGGTTAAAAAAAATTAAAAATCATAAAATTACACGACGACATCCCAAAACGACACTTCTTCAACACCAGGTCTCTGTCAGTTTAAATAATTATAATAAAAACACACTATATATTATGGACCTCATTGTTCACATCTCTCCGAACCTTTGCAGAACCAGCAGCTCAGGCTGGAGAAACATGAGCAGCGGGGTTTTCAGATCATGTGTTGTCAGTTTAAATTAATGAGATCGGGGCAGACCTCCAAAAAGAGGTCATCAGCGTGATGGGAAAGCAATTATTCAAAATTAAACCCACGAAAGAAAAAGAAGAGAGGAAACACGGGTCGGAAAGTTAACCCCTTGGTGAATATTCAACAAAAAACAATTGAAATTATTAATATTTAGGGAATGTGGAAACCGTATAAGGTAAGAATATAGCTCATTAACTTAGTGGGGGTGGGGGGGTAAATAATAATAATAAAATTAAAAACATTAATAAAGGGGATAAGCAGCATTTTTATATTCATAGATAGAAATATTTATATAAATAGCATGGCATATACTCTATGAGAATATATCGCCATATTACAATCCACAATACTGTCCAAGTACCTCAGAGGATTTGTCTTTTCTCAGCGTGCCGGGCAGACCGCCTGCGGGTGACCGGCTCAGTGTGAGAAAGACGTTCAGAGCACAGCTCTGCTGCCATCATGTGAAAAAAAAAAAAAAAAAAAAAAAACTGTTTCTCAAACGTTACCCCCTTTAACTCCCCCAACTTTCATGCATTCACATATTTGCCTCATTCTCTTTTCTTGCAGTCTTAACAGATACCCAAAAGTTTTTTGTCCTTTCATTCAGTATCCAAATCACGGTGGCTTAAATGAAGATTTCCACTGCCTCCGACTCCAGATCATCCAGGCCTCTGAAGGGATTTGACAGCATCTTCTTCGGTGCTGCCTTGTCTGGAGGACAAGAAAAAGAAGGAAGAGAAATATTACATGTACGTTTGAAGGTGAAAAGACCAGGAAAAGGTTTTGCACTGAAAAGGTTAAAAAAAAAAAAAAATTCTCCACAGTCACAGAAAAACAGTCTGGTGAATGTGCTCAGTCAACAGATTCAAATTACTTCCCCAACCATGCACATTCCACAGACCACAAATTACAAAGCGTGACCTGCACTGATGCGATGTGACCAGCTGGTTAATCCTCACCATGGTTAATCAATGTAAGGGAGGACAAAAATGACTATACGTGTGCATTTTGAGTTCTTAGCTTTGTAATGTGTGATGTTGGAGCTTCACGCTGCGATCCCGAGTGTCCGCTTACCGTTGCTTAGCTTAGTTGTGCTGGTTTTCTCCGTAGGTTTGGTTTCCTCCGGCTGCTTTTCGAGCGTTGAAGGTTCCGACTGGGCAGAGAACTGACGGACCGGCAAAGTCTGATCGTCTGACAGGTTTTTGCCTAAAGATCCCGTCACGGAAAACGTCAGCATCAGACTTTCAAACATGCAGTCATTTGTAAAAGCTTCATGATGATTCTGACCTTTAATCTTGGCGCAAGCCGTGCTGATGGAGGGAGTGGAGGAAGCCGGTCGGAGTGGAGCTCCCACCGCGTTCACGAGGTTCGTTCGAGGACTCTGCTCGTCCTTCTGACTTTGATCCTGATGCAGCCGCTGGTTGAGAATCTTTATCACAGCATCTTTTTCCAGTATCTGAGCATAAAGGGCTCGAATTCTGAAGTGAGAAAGGAATAAAATAATAGAGGTTAAAAAAAAAACACATAAAGAAAAAAGATCATTTTCATCCTTGTTTTCTGATTGTTTACCTGTTTTCCATTTCCTGATTCCTGTGATCGGGAAGTGGCAGATCCTCGTTGAAGCTGTTGTTGGAGGAGTGGCAGGGAGAGTGGTTAATGATGGTGGTGTCTCTGAAAATAAACAAAAAACAAATAAAGAAATAAATATAAAATCATTCTTTGCTTAATTTCAAACCGGGATATGCTGAAGCTTATCAGTCCAACTAAACATTAGTAAAAAGTTAAGAACCTCTGAGCAGCAGCAGTGGCAGCCACCTCCATGGCAAACTGCCTCATGGTGCTCTCCTCCAGGTACTTCTGTTCCCAACGCACCATGTCGGCTTCGAGGGCCAGGATCCGCTCCTCGCGCTCACGCAGGCGCTCTTGGAGCGAATTCACAGTCAGACCCGGCGGCTGAGACTGCCTCTGAAATGAGCAGATGGAATTTATTTTTTATTTTTTATAAACTTACTCATCGGAAACGTAACCGCTGTGCTCGGCGACGAGGTTTTACCTGCTGCGCCCTCAGACTCCTCAGCTCCTGCTCCAACCTCGTCCGGAGCTTCATCTCCAGGCCCTCCCGCTTCTCGCACGTCGACTGCAGCTGAGCCAGCGCGCTCTGGAGCCTCTCCACTTTCTCCACATACGCCCTCTTCCTCCTCAGCTCGTCCTCGAGCTGGCGCCCTCGTCCCCGCGCCGCCTCCAGGGCGTCCTCGAGCCGCTTCGTCCTGAGGCTCTGCTCCTCCACTGTCGATCGCAGGCGCTGCATCTCCCGCTCCATACGCTCCCGCTCAGCGTTCTGCTCCTCGTCTGACAAAAACAAGTTGAGAATGGAAAGGTGAGCCTTGACACATAGCAGGAGAAAAATTGATTAATTTTCTTTATTACTGCACGCAACAAAACTCTCACCATTTTAGGCCATAAACACATCAACCACAATCGTATACGTAAGACGTACTTCTTTCTGTTTAATAAAAAAAAAATCTGTCTAAAATTAGGAAATCTATACTTTGATGCATAAATTAGAAAATCCTTAATCTTGTGTTGGATTAGAAAGGATCGCTCCTATTAGAAACCCTGCAACATGCGTTTTTTCTCTTTTTGAATGGGGGGAAAAAAAAGTATTATTGGCATCAGCCAAAGTTGGAATCAGCAGGCCAGATGACGAAGAAAAAGCCCGATCGCTGCATTTCTGTAAGAAACAGTTTCCAGAACACGCATAATAATTTCCAGAGCTTGCAACATGGTGCCCAGTGTTCTTCATTTGGTGATGCAGTTCTGGAATGCTAAAAAGAAAAAGGGAAGAGGAGAAGGAGAAGGGAAGTGGAGGCGGGGGGGGGGAAGCTTCCCCATCCCTTTGACCCACATAGCACAAAACATTCCTCATCAAGGCCATACAAACACCAGCGCTCTGTTTGAGTCCAGATTCCCAAACAGACTCCATAAATTACACTCCCAACAGGTGGGGGCATGGGGATGCTCATTCCTACCACTTCATTTCCCTTTGAAAAAAAAAAAAAAAAAAAAGCTGCATGAACTGAATTCCCTACAATTAAGCCCTCTTAGCAAATCAGTCAAGGTTATGCAAGTGACATTCCTTTGCGCAAAAAGCTCCAGAAAGAGGCCCTGTGGTGCAATCTAGTTCAGTCATGCATCGTGTTCCTAAAAGGGGCTCTGGCTAAGGATGTAAAATTTCAGCTAAAGTCCATCTGCTTACTGCCAGCTTCTCTGGGGGAGTAAATTTTACAATCGTTGCGAGTCGCACATCAAAGGTATGAGCACCGTGTCACACTGAGGTACAGAGGAAACCTTAATCCTTTCAAATGGGGACTTTTTGGACACAACCTATGAATGATTTGCAACGCACAGCAAAAACACCTAGACGTTGGCAACTGGCAGCGCTGAAGCTAGCATCTGTGCTTTCTTGCTGATGCTAAATTAAAAGGGCTGTAGAACTGCTTTTAACAAATCTGGAGTGAAACTGATTGTCTCAAGTTCAAGGTTTAAAATTATGTAAACTTGACTGGATTTCTGCTCATTTCTGAACACACGTTTAACCTACTCTGACTTAAACTTAATAATAATGATTGGTTGGTTTTAACTATTTGAAAAACGTAGTGAAAAACGCAATAAATGAGCAACTGTGGACATGTGAGATATCATTAAAGTTGATTTTAGACCTTGTTTTGGGGAATATTGACCTACAAATTTACATTTTAAGACCCTAGAAAAACCCTTCTTGTACCCATTCAAGGTACAGAAACCTTGAATGGGATAATTGTAAATTGAAAAAGAGATTCCTCAAATTTCTTCATTTTAATTGCGAAAATACATTAAAAAGAAAAGAGCCATTTCAGAGCTATATTTGACATCGGCATTGGCCGATAGAAAGAAAAATCAAAGTCAAAGCAGCAAACTTACTTTGTTCAAGGAGTTTGGCCATGATGTGCTGGTTGTGGTCGGCCACCTCTACTTCTTTTGCAACGTGGGTCCTGGCTTTTTCCAGGTTTTCTGCGAGGCGGTGACATTTTGAAGTTAGCTCAAACAGCATCTGGAGCCGCATCCTGCCTCTCCGTGCGTGATGTGTGAGGTGCTTCATACCTCTGAGGTCTCTGTTGAAATCCTGCAGCCTCCTGATCTCGGCCACAAGCCTCCTCCTCAGTGTCTGCTCCAGGTTTTCCCTCTTACTGCTGCCCTGCATCAGTGTCTCGTAAGCCTCGGAAATGCGCTGAATCTCCTGCTCCAGCTGAAAAAGGAGAAAGGGGGGGAAAAAAGGAAGAAAAAAAAAAAGGAGGCATTTTTGGTTAGCCCAGCTTACAAAAAATGTAAGCTCCAGAGGACCTGGAATGTTAATTCATGTTTTTCAATGGTTTACAGGACAATGTGGGGGCGGTCAGGTAGCAGTGGTGTAACTTTAAGTAGGAACTAGGTATATTTGTAAATCAAGTTAAAAGGAAGCTGTGCATGACAGTGTGTGTGTGTGTGTGCGCGCGAGTGCGTGTGCATGTGTGTGGTTTGATTCTGAGAAGGAAATCAAGCCTGCACCACTCCCTCTTAGACTGATTTATATCTACATTCCTGAGCGCTGATAGCTGCAATTCCAGGTGTGTGTGTGTGTGTGTATGTGTGTGTGTGTGTGTGTGTGCGTGCACAGGAGCATGCAAGGTAATACGCATAAAGAAAGACTGACACATGGTTTTGGGAAAGCTGCCAGCAGGGACGGTGTACATGCCTGAGCCTGGGCTGTGGAAACGGCAAAGAGACACCCACCATTACAGCAGTCACTCAGGCATGTTTACTCAGGGCTGCGGCCCGACGGGGAAAACTTTCCAGCCCTGGCAATTATCATTCTTTAGGGCTGAGGCACGGCGAAAGTCATGTGACATAACTCTAGCAGAGAGCGGGCTGATTTTTGCAAAGATTTGGCCAAGGTGTCGAGTGTCGCCGAGGCTGTTTTCGAGCAAGCCGAACAGGGATGTTAAAGGCTTGGTGAGATCGTTAAAAACAGAGGGGGAAAGAGCCTTTTAAAAGCAAGAGCATGGGGGAAAAAAAAAAAAAAAAACGCAATTGGATGAGAAGAGAAACAGTCGATTCTGTTTTACTACTCTTTTTTTTTTTTTTTTTTCAAACCCCAGCCTACCACTCTAGCCTATTACCCAGCTAAATGACTGCAGTGTGACGTGGTCAGTGTTATCCTGGAAATCTATGGCTTGCCTGAAAATAAAGCAGACTCACACATGGGGCCTCCAGCGTGTCAACTACACAATGAAAGAAGTGTGCAAACACAGGACCCGGCTGTGACCTGCGTTTGTGGCCCTGCGTTAAGAAACGGTAGCAGCTGTCAATCTCACATGTTTGTCCAAACGGCCGCGGCAGTTCTCCAGATATCTTGGATATCAGGGAGGCAACTGACCGCTGGAGTTGTGTTTCAAAAGCAGGTGGTTGGGAGCAAGAATGCCATGTGGCCCTTTAACGAGTGATTTTCTTTAAACTGAGACGTCTTTTTTTTTTTTTTTTGTTTTTAGATTTTTTTTTTTTTTGATTTTAGTATTCTTTTCTATATATATATATAAAAATCTCCTTTTTCAACTCCGAGAAATTTCTGAGGGGAACTGTCAGTTTCTTACCTTTTGAATGCGGCCAGTTTTCTCCCTGTGAGCTTCCAGCTCTTGTCTGAGTCTCTCATTCTCCATCACTAGGAGCTCCACCTGGTTAGGTTCCTCCAAGCCAGCAGGTGGCAGGCTGTTGAATGTGTTGTAGCTGGGTACTTCTCCTGGCTGTTCAGACTGGACATATCTATGAAAAAAAATAAAATAAATTGTTTTGTGATCAGATGGGTCTAGTTGCTGCTGATTTAATTAGCAGCAAAGAAATACAAGACTTGAGGGGGGAAAAAAAAGATATCCTTAATTTAAATGAAAGCCATATTAAAAACCATGTTATCATTATCATTAATAATCAGATAGCAGAAAGGCTCCAGTGGTTGTGAGGAATGTAAGACTCTAAATGTGGGACACAGTGTTAGTCAGAATGCCAGAAACTACTTAAGTATCTGTGATTATGCTGCTGCTGTATTCCAAACATTACAAACATCTAGAGGGCAGGACTTGCTCCTCTGGAAGTATTTCAAAATCTAATTCCGTATGCAGGCTGCAGTGTGACTCACATTCATAAGTATGTGTTTACGCATGTGAAACAAAGGCAAGTATTGGGCGGGTTAAGAAGTAATACCGATGATGTGATGCAATGCTACAGTAGTCTCTAAAACACACATAAACACAAATGGAGTGATGCAAAACAAGGTTCTTCTCCCCTACCTTTGGGGCTGAGCTTGCACTTGATCCTGGACCTGGTGGGGGATGAAACCCTGACCCTGGATGGGGCTGCTGTATTCTGGGGGCGGGCTGCGTTTGTCTGCGTTTTGCCCCATCCTCTGAAGGCACTGCGGGGTGTAGTAGGGGAGCTCCGGGTAGCTGTGGGAGTTGATTTTGATGGCCGCAGCTTTGGCTACTGCATCTCGCCTCTCCAGAGACATCTGCATGAGATGCTCGCTGAGCGAACGCACGTGGCTGCATTTTGGCTCCAACAGATCTGCTTCTTCGTGGAAGGATCCATCATGCAACACAAGCTGCCCCTCATGGAGCTGCCTGTGGGCCCAGTGAGAGGACGGGTACTGGGAATGTGCTTTGGCCTGCTCGTAGGTTGGCAGCGTCTCCCCGTGCAGCTGAAAGCCGCTTTCTGAGTGATGGTAGTCCCCTTGGTGCTCCTGGCCCTGTGGCTCCTGCCTCGCTGAGAGCTGGGGAAGCAGCGGGTCCTCCTGAGTGAGGCTTTCTAGAGAAGATCTGGGGGTCCTGCTCATTTCACCCCCACTGCTGGGTCCACTGTTGCTTCCACTGCCTCCGCCTCCACGCAGGGCCTGCTGCTGGATGGCCAGTAAGGTGCGGGTGTCCGTGGGGTTTCCGTAGCGGAGCTGCTCCTGGATGAGCCGGTGTAGGACCGTGCCAGACGACTCCTCAGTGGACGACATGGTACAGTGTAAAAAAAACAAGGTTCTCTCCAAAAGGAATAGCACAGCTGCTCTGAGTCTAAAGTAGAAATGTTTTCAATCAGCTGTGGACCTGAGAAGGGAAACATGTAGATGATTAAAGAACTATCTATAATTGAAACAGTAATAACAAAGCAGCCATACATTTATGTTAAAGAATAGAAACTGTGTAGCCACAAGAAAGCATTCAAACAGCGACAATTGTGCGATGTGGTGAGTTGTTTTATGGCAGGCAGAAACTTCATGCGCCAAAAATTCCTTTCTCATGGGGGGGGGGAGCAAAAGCGGACAAAACCGCGTTGTAAAATAGTTCCGCCTTAAAGCTCAAATATCAAACTCAAAACTAAAAGAAATACACGTAAATATTTCAACACATTTCTTCAGTCTTACGTTTTAACTAGAAGCAACGACGTAGCTTCTTTATCAACGTCCCGGTGCGACTTTTGTTCTGATAAAATATATATATATATATATATATATATACAAAACCCAGAAGCTTCTCTTACCAGCTCACGCTTTCATGATAACACAACCCCTCTGCTCGAAGTGAATTAAAATCCAAAGTATTTCCTATATGTCCGCTAGGTTTTTAGTCGAGTTGAAAGTGCCTCATGTTGCCGCGCTCCTCTCTCGCTGTGAAATGATTATGGAGAGAGGAGGCGGCGATAATAAGTAACCGAGGAGGGACTGAGGTCGGAATGTCAGGAATGTAAAACGCGAGGTCCCTCGGGGATCAAAAGCATAAAAAAAGAAAAAAAAACACGGAAGGAGGAGGAGGAGGAGAGCAGCGCGGCGCTTTATTGGGCCAACGAGGAATTAAAAAAGGCAACAGAGAGAATGGAAAAGAGTAAGAGAACACGTTTTACATCAAGAGGAAGACAGCAATTGTATTTTATGGAACTGAATCCCTCAAAATAAACATTTTGGCAGCAGACTCCGCTAAATACGGAGCCCTCCAGAGGACATGGGAATTTTTTTCCCCCTTTTGCAGAAAGTTTTGCGGTCTCTCCATAATGTTCTGATCAGTTCCTGCGGCATAATTGAATACTGTAAGCCTTTCTTACGGTGGCCGCGGTGCTGTCTGCGTTAATACAGTTAGGTAAGATTTTTTCCATGAATGTTAATATCTCCTTATGAAATATCTGAAGTTTTATATATTTTTCTTTAGTTGATGCACCACAAACATATGATATAAACATAAACTTTCCGTAAGTAGGAAAAATACATCCAAGCTATTTGGACTATTTCTGAATTATTATCGCCGGGTAATAAGTCATCTGACAGTTTTGATTGTGTCTCTATTGTACTGGTCTGAATGGTTTAAAGGGCCGTTCTCACGTGCAGTTCTATCTCAACCTTAACATGCAGTGATTTTCAATCAGTTTTTTTGCACCAAAGAGTTAATAATAATTAAAAACGTTTTCACTGAGGCTGTGGAAGAGCAAGTAGTTATTGATCTGACAGGAGCACGCGGCTTTGACACTTGGGTGGTGGGCGTGTCGATGTGGGCGTGGCTATCATCAAGTATGAATGGGAAGGTTACTGGCGCGCTGGCTTTGTGTGTATGAGGAAGCGGGTGGGCGGGGTGGTCAGTCCTTGCAAAGTTTGGAGCATGATAATCAAAATGGAATAAATCGATAATTGTGACAGAACAAAGAAGAGGCTTGGAGTTGATTGATACACGGACAGATGAGATTCCCCGAGTTAACCCAGTGCGGCCCTCTACCACCACTGGCCTTGTTTCTTAATAATAAAACGTATTTATTATTTTTAACTCTTTGGTTCGGAAAAACTGATTAAAAATCGACTTATTCACTGCATGTTTGTGTCTGTTAAGGTTGAGATGGAACTGCAAGTGAGAACGGCCCTTTAAACCATTCAGACCAGTACAATAGAGACAAATACAATAGAGCCAAGAAAGGTTTACAGTATTCAATTTTTTCCGCATGAACTGATCAGTATATTATTGAGAGAGACCGCAAAACCTTCTGCGAGGGAACGCAAAAAAAAAAAAAAAAAAAAATGTCCATGTCCCCCAGATGGCTCCGTAGAACATGATGATGCAAACATTGATGAGAATTACTTTAGCTGAAGGCATTAACCAGCCCATTAGGTTTTTAAAACATCTTGAGTGGAAATGGAAATAGTTGTAATATTACTTTTAACCTCAACTCAAATTACTAAAAACTAAATAGTATTAATGCTACATATAGTGACAACATGGATACTACAAACCTAAAGCTTGTTTAAAGCCAGGTTTGTCCCATTTGAGAGCACTGTGTTCCTCTGGAATACAACTGAGCTTCATGATTTTGCTTTTTGTGTTCATTTAGATCTAATGCAAAGTTTAATGTTTACGAGAAAACCTTTCGCTTAACATGCCTACGGGCTTATCAGACGGTAAATCTTGACTTTTTATAATGCGCATGTTCAGTTTTATTGTCTGGTTTGTTAACAGTCTTTGCCTTACACTAGTTCTGCCAAAACTATTTGGCTGTGTGCCCAGTCAATTTACCATCTGCAGTTGTTCACCCATAAAAAAAAAAAAAAGCGGAATACCAAAGCTCCTACAAGGAATATTCCTGGAAATGTGTCTCAAAAATGACTAGCTGTTGAAATGCCACGTTATTTTTTGGCCTTTCATCTTTACCATATCAGTAGGCTTCAATCATACAGAGGGACCTATGCTGGTTTCTTTTTAAACAATGCTATAGGCTTTTAGGTTCACCCATTTTTACTACAACAGCATGTTTTGCAAGTATAATGTTTATATAAAATGTAGAGTCAGCTGTTATATGTGTTATAGAGGGAATGAAGGAAACAGTGCTGCAGCTTGTCACAGCCCTGAAGGAATCCAGTCTTGTGGCTTTCACCACAGGTCACTCTTGGGTAAGCTGTTGCATCTGTGTTAAGTGTGTTATAGATGGCTTAAGCGTGTGTGCTTGTGTGTTTGTGTGTGTGTGTGTGGGTGCGTATGCGTGTGTATGCATGTGTGTGTGTGTATGTGTGGCAGCTGTTTTCTGGAATTTGAGGTCTTTGAAACGCCACAACTACAAGCACATAGGCTCTTTGTACCACACATAATAAAGAGTAGCAGCAAAAATGATGCCACGGTTTGATTTTACTCTACAAATATCCCCAGTCACAAACCTACAGATGATTTCTCATCACTCAGATGAGGCTACACGTCAAAGTAAGAGAACAGTCACAGAGTGCAAAACCGTAGCTCACACTGACGTTTGTAAGTTATAGAAACGTCCAATTTTGTGTTCTCAAAGAAGTACATTTTTTGCCTGTAGGGAGAAAACAAATCTTCATTTCTGTCAAAGCCAAAATGTTTGTCTGGACTATTTACGACATGATAAGACCAAACCAGCACTTTGTTAAGGTTATTAAACATGACTGACTTGTGGGCTCTTTACATTGCAGAGGGTTTTTGTTGCAGCATGCTAATCATGTGTATTTCTGTCTAACACAGAGACTTGAATATATACTTTTGGCGCTTAAACAAGACAACAGAAATGCTCTGTTTTATACTTTTCCCAGGAATAATATGGCCCCTCTGTAAGTTTTACAAAGTCTATCTGAAGAAATGGTGACAAAGAGCAAAAATAAAAATAATAAAATAACTTCAAATTTAAAGTTTTTGCATTGCCTACCTATAAACTTTAGAATTTATTTGAAAATGCTTTTAAGGACTTCCAAAAATTTGCCACACCAATTTTGTTTGATTTTTATGATATCATTTACTTGGGGCTTCATCTTCACCTTGGACAGGTTTGCAAGTCCATCACAGGATTTGTACGTGATCGACTGGATTGCTTTTCCTAACAACCATGCATGCATACACTCAACTCTGAGGGCAATTTAGAGCAATAAATTAAACTATCAGTAATGCTTATGGGAGCTCTCCAAATAAAGACTAAATAGCTGATTCATATCTCAAGGCATTAAATGGAGGTATTATAAACACGGTATTATAACACTATGACATGATCCACCTACAACCTCCAAAACTGCCATCCAAAATTAAAATGTAAACTCCAGTTGACTTGGTAAAGAAAATGGGTGCAATCGAAGCACAGCAGTCCATAGCAATCGATTGTTGTATGTAGCAACTAGCCTCCGGCTGATTATCTTATTAGACCTAAAATCTATAAGGCCCCTGAGATAGCATTGAACTGCTGATAGTGTCCACTATCATGCAAATGGCTCTTCAGCCATTCTTAGATAAGTAAAAATTCCCATCATACCTCAGATGGTCAGTATTGTTGAAGAGATTCATTTAAGTTAAAAACCTCCGAGGGCAGCTCTGCATGGAGGGAGAACAGTTAGCAAAGTGGATGGTGCTCGCATTTCCCCCCTCATATCCAGAGTCTGTAAAGCAGCACAGCCAGTCTCCAGCTTTTAAAAAAGCCCGTTCATGTCATTTAACACCAACTCACTACTTCCTCTGTTCACTCTCTGTGTGTATGTTTGGTGATGGGCAACGCCTCTGGTCATTTTGTTCCTTCATTGTAGCACGCTTCCTGTGAACTACCAAAGGAATGTGAGGCTGATCCTTTGAGAATTACAGATGCTTTCCAAAAGTCATTAGAGATCAACATTTGAAATGCTACACCACAAAATAAATCCTCAGTGTGTCTGTCTGTCTGTGGGCTCTGAAACCTTGAGCCTAACTAAACCTATATGTCATGATTTGAATCTAGTTTGCGGGAAAGAACAGAGGCATTTACAGAAAATATGAGACACCTTTACGCATCAGGTCTGGTGCTAAATACAGTAAATGTTTGTGGCTCTTGAAGCTTCAATTCAGAGCTGGCCTGAGGCGTAAACGAACTCTGGATCTGCTTAGAGTTTGCTGCTGATTTGAAATTACACACGAAAGGAGGACAAATGGACGTGCTGTAAACATAGTAAATAAAAGACAGAGAAAAAAATTATTTGGCCCCTCACAGATTTTTTTTCTATTTTTTTATTTTTATTTGTTAGACTGACGTTTTTCAGATCACACAAAAGCTCAGGCCATCTATTAATACTTATTATTTACTTATTATTAACAATAAGTAATAGATAATGAAAAGACAACAATAAATTGTCTGATGTCTGACTCAGTTACCTACTAGACAAGTACCCAGTTGTGTGTTACCTGGTGAACGTGAAGCTAATCAACAGTCAACAGTATAACATAAATATTATTGCTGAAGTATCTTTTGCATGATTGCACTGACAGAAAGTAGGCCCTCAAGTCAAGTTTTGTTTCAGCTTTGTTTTTTGACCAGCCTCCATTTTTGGGAGACTGACTGCTTCTCAAAATCATCATAATTTTCTACAGATGTGGGCCAAAATCACTGCAACCTAATGTTTTTTTTTTATTTTTTTCTTAATTATTTTAGTCTTCAATCTTATACACTAAGCAACAGTTGTCCAATTTATTAGTAAACTAAGTTTTAAATAAGATTCTCTATAACTCTGTTTATATATAGACATTGTTGAAAATGTTTAAATGTGCAACAAACCAACTAAAGTTCTGTCAGATGAGTGCATTTTTTTTCCCCTGTAGCTGCAGTAACTCTAAAACTCCCAAAACTAGCTACTTGACTCACTGATTATCTCCCTGTCTTGCTTTCTGTCTGCTTGCTTCAGACTCAGACGCCTCATGAGTCTTTCATGAGTGTAAGTGTCC